CAATTGAGGCCATGATCACCACTCAATTTCTGTGTAAAACACTGAAATTTCCCTCTCAAAGTGTTGTAATTCCCGTCATATCGGAATTACTTTTATGTAATGAGTAAAAGAAAATCAATTGAAATGAAATGATGAAATCAGCACAAACCTTGACTTACGGCACTCCACAACGGTGGTAAGCCAGTGAGCGGATCTCGCCAATCCAGATTCGCACCCGATTTGCATAAGCATCGAACTGTTTCCAATAGACCACATTCAACGGCCAATTCCAAACAATTCTTACTCTCAGGCATTCTCAAAAAACGAAACACGATTTCAATACACACGCACATCAATCACATAAAATGTTTGCAGTTTGTTGCGGCATCAATCATTTGGCATCAAAATCACTTACAAATCCACTTCATCAATTCCTTTCCATCAAAAAACACTCCCAAAGTTTTATTCCAAAAGTACTGAATTCCCCAAAGTTTCCACAAATACATCGAACCGGAAGGCAAACTAAAGTCACTGAACGGCTATCCAGACCACAAAAACATCACGGTCTCAGATTCACTGCTCTCAACAAAACGTTATTGAAGCAATCGAAGCGTTTGTTCAAGAGAATCAACGTTATGAAGGAACACGAATTTCAATGAAGAACGATAGATATGCTCAGAAAATGTAAATCAGCTACTAGAATCGTACCTAACTGTAGGATCAGCACCATTTTTGAGCAGAAAGACGGCCGCGTTGTCGTGTTTCTTGGCGATTGCCCTCAGCAGCAACGGCACTCCGTTACGATCCACCTCGTTCACATCGGCTCCTCCGGCTCTCAACAGGATTCTCGGTGCTTCCACGAATCCATTCAGCAACGCTTTCGCAAACGGTGTCTCGTCGTTCGCATCCGTTACCGATAAAGGAAGTGCTGAATGCGTTGACAATCATCAATTTTAGTGGAATACTTCGGAACACTCTCACAACTGCTCTTTGAATGATTATTATTATTATTATTATCATTATTATTATTATTATTAATTTGATTGCCATCCTTCCATTATTATCATTGTTATTAAATTATCATCATTATGCTATCATTATTATTATTATCATTATTGTTATTATTGATATCATTATGTTTTCATATTTATCATTACCATATTCATTATTATTATTATCTTATTATCATTATCATTATTATCATGCCTCATTGTCATTCTTCCACTGTTACTACCATTACTGTTTACAGTTAGCGATCACTGCTCTCATATAAAAGTTCTAAACAACTTTCTTGTAGATGATTCGATTAATTGTGTTGCCTCAAATATGAATTTTCTACAATTAATCAGTTATGAAATATTGGATGAAGTAAGATTATATGACATAGAACTAACGTTTTCCTCTTTCTTCGGCGATTATTCGCAGGATCTGATCACCACATTCCTTCTCAACTGCCAGATGGAACACTGTCGATCCAGTCTCGGGTGTTTTTAGGGTCAGATCCGCTCCAGATTTCAGCAGCAATCGCAATATGTCCGCTTGGAATTCTGGCTGTGAAACGGCTAAATGCAACGCTGTCAAACCCTGCAACATTAATATTGGAATGAATCTGGTATTGACTCGATAATTGTGCGAGTTTTCGAATTGAAATACTTGAAAAATCATTATAATAGCTCGTAGTGGTGGACGTCTTGATCAGATACAACAACAACGAACCTCTTTATTACGCAAGTTGACATCAGCTTTATGAGCACACAGAAACTGCAGCGCAGATAAATTCTTGCTTCTTATAGCACTATGTACGAGTGTATCACCTGAAGTATTTGCTGAAGGTGATAACCAGGTGAGAATATCATCATCACTGAATCATTATTATGATTTTGCCTATCACGTTTGTCACTCACTGCCCAACAAAATCTCTCCATGAGAAATGGAAAAGAAACACTGGCGAATGGAAATGCACATTTAAACGCCAAAAACTTTCCGCACTGATAATTGACATTAATAATTCATTTCAAAAACTTGAGAATGAATCGAATATCGTGACAAAATCATCAAAATTAAGAGGAAGAAAACAATAAGGAAACAAACCATCATTTTGCACTGTTGTATTCAAATCGGCACCCGTCTTGAGCAATGCTTCTGATCGTTCGATGTCGTTTTGTTGCAATAACGCCAATTGCAGTGCNAAACTCCACCAAACGTCTATTGTCACTTTCCACTGCACACAACAATGCGCTTCTGAACACACAAAATCACTAAGAAGCACGATTAACATCGCACAAATTTGGATTTTATAAATCAAATCAAAGTGGATAATGAAACAAAATACGTCAAAAACATCAAAAAATCTGCAACGTCAAAAACGAATCTCTAAAATGCAAAATCTTCAACGCATCTCGATAATTCCTTTCGAGATCTTGATTAAAAAATTCACCAGATTAAAAAAAAAACACTTCAACTGTTTAACATATCGAATGCGTCGTCGCACAAATCAAATTTGCTTAACAATGCGGTTCTGTTTTGGTTAATATTTTGGATTTTAGTTTCTAGTGCTTTCGCGTGAGGTTGCTTTTTGGCTTGAATCAGGCCATCAAGAAGCAATTTATTGTGTATCCCGAATGCGTTTACCAAAATATAGATCTCACCTGTTTTGCAGATCAACATCGTTGATGTTCAACTGATCACAAATGGTTGCAATCCACGCTAACATATCATCAGAGCAACACGAATTCGCCAATATGTGCAGCAGAGTCTCACCGCTCGACACGACCCGTACATCTAATTTCGCACCATTTTCACACAAGAATCGGCAACAATCCGCATCACCTGCACAACTCCAACTAACATCATCACTCCATTCAATCGCTCATTTCAACCACTATCATCACATCACGCTCAGTGAGTTTACTTCACACGTCACTTCACTTACTTCACATGTTCAATATAATCATCACCAATATCACACTGATTTACCAATATCTTTTTTACCATTATCAATATAATCTTATCATGAATGCTATTNTGTCGAATTGAATAGAATGATAAGATATTCATTGCTATCACTATCATTGCTATTGTTAAACTATTATCATTGTGATTATATCATTAATAGACTACATTTTTGACTATTTAATACTGATAAGAATATGACATTAATGGTAATAGGGAGACGTAAACTGGTGATGAGTTGTTGGATTTGATGATTATATAAATAAACACAACCTTTAGCAACGGCTTTCATAAGCAGTGACCTTCCGTCATCATCCAGAAGATTTACATCACCGCGATGATTGATGATCGATGTGGCTAGATTGAACTGTTTCGATTCTAACGCCACTTCTAAGGGCAATAAACCGTCGTCGTTCCTTTCATTACTCACCTCAGCTAACTAAAATATTAATCACTGTCATATGCCACTAATATAAGCAATATTAAATCATTAGTATCACGATTAATGACACTTTGAAATGATGGCAATGAAATATTCAGAAATTGGTAGATCTTTCACGGACTTTCATTTAACTTCTGTCCATCCAATTAAATATCAAATACAATTCACCTTTGAATCATTATCGATATAAAACAAAAACAATACATCCTCACGACGCAAACCAATAATTGAATGTAGAATATATTTACAGTGGCTGAAATTAGATGAAAAAATAAAAATAATAAAACAGTCAAAAAATGGAAT